GCTCACACTATTGCAGTATCATGGTGGGAGTGTGCCTGTGCTCACACCATTTAATAAACAGCAAAAAAGGACTGATACAGGATCCAGCCAATACAGCAAGTAAGTGAGCACGCTCCTCGCCTTCATACAAACTGTTCCCTTACCCTAGTGTCCCCCGATGTCTTTTCAACTTGCCTGTCAATTTCTCTTTACCTGCCCTTGTCTTCCGTTGTGGGCATTGCTTGGGGTCTTGTCCTCAGCATGTCAGCCAACGTGTAAGAAAAGTTTCTGGATACTAACCCGACATCCCCAGCACTTTCCAGTGATTTAATTTTTAATTACTATGTAATAGTTAGTCTTATTTACCGGGTACAGTGTGGAACAGAAACTATGTGTACTATACAATGAGTATGGTTAGCTCAGAGCAAGTGAGACAGACATTAAGGCAGATTTTTATTTATTTATTTATTTATTTATTTATTTATTTATTTATTTTGGTCTTTTAAACAAAGGTTTTTACTGTTCTAGAATTTGCTCTGTAGACCAGGCTGGCCTTGATCTCTGAGATCCATCTGCCTCTACCCTCAGAGCAATGGATTTAAGGTGTGTGCCTCCGCCGACTGTCTTATTCTTTCTGTGGGGGATATATTCAGGATCCTCTCTAATGGTTACTCTGAAATTTACTGTTAATTCTTGTTAACCACAGCTATCCTCTGGAGAGGTATTTCCTGATCCTTACCCTGTTGGACTTGAACCTACAGCCCTGGATATGGCTGATCACGCTCTAGAGATTTGTTTTGCTCCCAACCTCTTGTTCTTAAACACTTCTGCTCCTTGTCTGTCTTCCCTTTCAGCTCTCTTTAGCTGTTCAGTATTGATTCCCAGGTACCTACCTCCTCTCAGCCATTTTCCTGGACTTGACCCATTATCGCAGAAGCCCTCTATCCCAGGGGCAGCTCAAATGGCTAGAGCCCCCCAAAGATAATCATCCAGCCAAATGACCTTGAGCAGGGTGGTTAACTCAACTAGGCTTAAATGAGGGCACTGTTGATAGACATTGACACAGAAGCTTGGCGTGGAGATTAACCCTTACTCGTCTTTTTTTCTAATTATTTATTTATTTATTTTATGTATATGAATACACTGTAGCTGTCTTCAGACACACCAGAAGAGGGCATTGGATCCCACTACCGATGGTTGTGAGCCACCATGTGGTTGCTGGGAATTGAACTCAGGACCTCTGGAAGAGCAGCCCGTGCTCTTAACCTCTGAACCATCTCTCTAGCCCCCCGTTACTCCTTCAAACTCATTCCTTTCTGAAATTATTACCGAGTTGACTCAAACCCACCACTCATGTCCTTCAAGAAGCATTGTGCATCCTCCCTCCGGAACACCATTCTATGTCCTTCCTCCACTGCCTGATAGCTTCAGCCTCATCACTTCCAGGGCTCAAAGCCATGCTGAACCTGACCCTTATCTTTCACACCCTTCTGAGTACATACTTTGCAGGATGCCAACCTGCACGATGCCCCCTTAAGAACAAAATCCTAACTCTGTTAGGCCTTGGTCTCGGTAGCATCAGTTGCTTTCCCTAAGTACCAGCAGGTTGTCCTCCAAGGAGAGGTGATGGCACAATGCGCAAGGCCCAGAGTGTCCCTCCTTTCTCTAATTTTTAGGCTGCCCTTCATTTTCTGCGGCAAGTAGTCCCGATCTTCCAGTCCGAGTCAGGCCCTCTTGCTTTTATACTCTTGCTCGCATGAGCCTGCCCTCTCCACAAAAGTGAGGTTACTGCAGCAGAAAAACTTCACACACCAGACAGACAGCAGTAGCAGCGCGCAGTAGGCGGTGAGAACTCAAGTAAAGCGAATCAGAACAGCTCTTCTGCCGAGAGCGACACAACGGGTTTGGGGAAATTAGTGTTTAGGGCTTCGGGAGCCCAGTCCTCGGAGGCGGCTCAAGGTTTCCACCACGTCCGCAGGCAAGAAGTCGAAGCAGGGTACTTGGAGACTGCAGACGCTCACCCTCTGCGCTTTGTTTGAGGCAGCAGCGGGGCGCAGCCCTGCCTGGCCACGATAGCACCACAATGCACCCCGGGAGCCCTCGTCCGGATCCTGAGCCCAGAAGACCGGCACTCTCCGCAGCCGAAACCGGCGGGAAAGCGCGCGACAACGCGCGGTCACACGCTAGCGGCTCTGCGCGCGGCGGGGGCGGGGCGGGGGCGGAGCCAAGCACGAGCGGGGCGGAGCCGTGCGCAGGAAGCGCTTGGAGGCCCGAGCTGTCCCAGGGTGCTTCGCGCGGCGTGCACTCCGGTCGCTGCCGCCATCCTTCTGGCGAAAGAGAGGAGAGAGACAGAGAGGCCCGCCCGCTAGCCGGCCCGGCCAGTGTGGGCCAGTGCGTGAGGGCGCGGGGGGCCGTGTCAGCGCGACGCAGAGCGCAGCCGCCACCGCCAAACGGACATGTTGGAGCCCCGCGCTGCCGCCACCTCCCATCCCTCTTCCAGCGCACGGGACTGAGCTGGGGCCCGCCGCCTCTGCCTGCGCTCGACCGGCCCAGCCTTGCCGCCTCGGCCGCAGCCCCTTCCTGCTCGGCCTCGGCCTCCGCCGCTCGTCGCCTCCTGTCCTCCTCCCCCCACGCCCTAGGGCCCTGCCGGCTCCCGGCCCTACTCAGCTGCGGCTCGAGGTCTATGTGACCGGCGGACCCGGAGCAGCCGCCGCCGCAACGCGAACATGGACGCCGTCAACGCCTTCAACCAGGAGGTGAGGGGTGCTCGGGGCAGGTCTGCTGCGAGCCAGCCGGGCCGCTTCTCCCGCTGCCCGAGGGCTTTCGAGCACCGAGTCCGGGTGGGGACGCTTCCTGCCCCGGGTTCCGGGGCAGCGGGCCTGGAGCCGGGGAGAGGTCGCGGCCACCGCCGGGGGCTGACCCCGTGCCCCTCCCCCGCCAGTGCCCCCTTCGCCCCCTTCCGGCCTGTGCCGGCTCCGGCTTCTCCAACGTGGCCCTTGTGTTCCCGGCCCGGTTATCGGCTTTGCGGGGCTGGGATCCCGCCAGAGGCTGCAACAGAGCGCGGGCGGGCCGACTCAGGGGCGGGAGTTCCCGTGTGTCGTGGGGCCGGCATAGCAGCCGCCTCAGCTCTCCTGTTGCTCAGGCCGCGGCGCGGCGGCCCCTGGACTCTTGATCCCGGCTGGCGGAGAGTTAGAGAGGGTGTCTGTTCTCCCGCCTCCTGGATTGACACGCTCACAAATGAACACAGAGAGGTAGTTCCTTAGCCTTTCTATCTAGAGCGTACCCTTTCTGTACATCATGACACCTAAAAAGTTAAATGGGAGAGCAAAGTGTACACCCTGTTTAGTCCGCTAGAAAGGCTGCTTGGGTCTCCGCTTGCTCACCCTCGCACCGCCCTCTCGGGGTACTTAATCCTCAGCTCCCTTCCACAGGGATATTTACATGTGAAAACCTCCCCAAACCAGGAACAAAGCTGCCTGCTGCCTTAAAGCTCCCTAGTTGTATCTCTGATCGTTCCAGGTGCTGTTTTTGGAGCATAAAGCCCGTACCATCTTATTTATCTGAATGGATTTGGGAGGAGGAGACGACCATTGATGCTTTAAAACGCAGTTACAGACTGGCAACTATTGTGGATTGGGTTGGATTATGTTTCTCGTTTCAAATACTAAAGATAAACCAGCATTGAAGGAATCTGATGTCATAGTTTGACACGTGTTAATGTGGTATCAGAACTTGCTCCATCTCAGTGAGATTTCTATGGCTCACCTCGAAATAGTATTAGGGTATTGGGGTGTTACTCCTCTTTCTATTCGTAGCGCCCTAGAAGGGGACCCTCCAATTAATCCTGCAGTTGAGAATATTTATTGCTGTACAGATTACCCTTTCAAAAATACTTTTCCTCAGTTGATGAGTCCATGTCTTCCCAGACAGCGGTAGTTGCACCCGGTGATGGGAAGTAAGATGGAAGAGTTGACTAGAGATGATTTTCCAAAGCAGTAAAGTAATGTGGGTTCTCAGACGTCGGTGAGAATGTGCCAAGTACTCAAGTTCAACGTTGATTTTGTAGAGTTGCTCTCATCATGGCAGGTGCCTGGCAAATGGTTATTCAATAGATGGGAACTTACACAAATACCACAGGCTTAGAATTGCAGGCACACCTCTTGAGGTGAAAGCTAACCTGAAGGTTTAATGAACAAGGAGGATTTTTAGTGTGTTTTTAAAGACCAGAAACACTCCTTATTTAAGGTATTGTGGAAGGTGATATCAAATACTTTGTTAAAGTATCTAATGTTAACCATTCCACTTAATTAGGGTCTTTAGACTACTAAGGGAGTGATCAGCAGATTAAAGACCTATGGCCACCGAACATTTTAAGGATAATAAAATTTGAAGCTTCTGGATGAATGGATGAGGAAAAATAGCCTAAAACTGCAGTTGGTTTGAATTGCTCTGAAATACGACTCTTAGGATGTGTGTGACTCTGAGAAGGGGAAATAGCATTTTGACCTTTACATGGCGTGCTGAGCATTTCTCTTGCTGATTTCCCTGCATCCTAGTCTGTGAACTTGAAGTTACATTTGTTAGGTGAATGTTGCCATTGCCAACTCTCTGGTGAGTTGCAAATGAAAACCTAAGGTCTTGTTCTCATTCTCTTTTTTCCCCATTCAGAAAACATTACTGAGAGGTCAGGTCTTTGTAACATTGAATCTACCAAATCTGCTGGTGGTTTAAAAGTGTTGAGTTGTTCAGCTGTGTCCTTAACACTTGAAGGCTCTCTGTCACTTAGGGAGTCTATCTAATAGAAAAAGAACAGTTTTTCCTCTGTGTGTTGTGGTGTGCCCACGAGGTGTTAGTGAAAACTCAGGAGAAAAGGTATCAGTGTTAGGATTTCAGAGGAGGCGGTTTGAAGGGGCAGCAGGACTGAGAAGTGAGCAGTAGTTTGATTCTGGGAACTAGTGGATTACTATCTAGTACTATCTGGAACTAGTGTGTGGTGTGATATTTCATGTCTAAAGTACTATATTTTCATTTTTGACTGTGGGTAAACAAGAACGGTTTTAAGTAGTAAGATGGCAAGATTGTGTCCAGCTTGTCCTGGTGTCATGTGGGAGAGGCAAGTGTAGTTCAGGAGAGGCATGAAAGGATGGGAGCCAAAGGAATTCAGGACCGTGGTGCCTGGCAGTTCCATAAGTTGCTTTTGTCACTGTATTCTAGATGGTTAGACGGTGATGGTGCCATCAGTACAAGACAGTCTTCAAAATTACACTTAGTGGAGAAGAAAGTGTGATTGTGAAATAGGTTAGGTTGCTGTTGTGTGGAACAGTCACGTGGATATTTTTGGCAACTAATAGGACATGTAGTATTTAAAGTTTGAAGTAGCCAAAACAGGGGCAGAGTCACTCTCAGATGGGTGCTGGTCCAAATTCCATGGTGCAGGGGAGAGAGAGAATATGATTTGGCTTGTTGGGCACTTTATGTCTACCTTAACAGACATGTATCCCTGAAGCCTTGCACAGACATCAAGTTACGTATAGAGAGGCAAATTTTCAAAGAAGTTAAATAAGAATTCACCCAAGGGCACATTTCTAAATAATGGCAGAGCCAGGGTTTGAATGTAAATATCTCTGCTTAATTGATAGGCTTTGTAGAGTACTAAGGAACTGGCCAACAGATCTTAAGGCTGCTGAGCCTTTTAAGGGTAATAGAACTTGAAGTTTAGGGTTGAATGGATAAGGAAATAAGAGGTCAAGTGCACTCTTTGGTTGTTTGGTCTTGAGCAGTTAGAGGAAAAGGCTGCCTTATGGGTGATGGGAAGCCAGCTAACAGTATCCTAGCACTGCTGAACAGCAGGCCATGTGTTTATGCATGTTACACCATAAGTCTTGGTAAGAGGTGGGACTATCAGATGAGATTGGGCTTTGGGGGTAGGATGGCATAAACCCTAGTCTTATTAGGTAGAAAGAGAGGCCCTCTTCTTGTGCACAGACATACATGTAGATAGAACATCCATGTATGTGAAATAAACTTTAAAGGAGAGAATTGAGCATATTCAGGGAAGGGATATGAAGAAGTGAGTTTAAAGCAGCAGGGGAAGGTTGGGAGTGGTAAAAAGAAGAGGACAGATTGGCAATGATGTCACTGAGGTCTGCTTGGTACTGAAGAAGAAAGGGGAAGTAATTAAAGCACTCATTAACTTCCTATTTGGATGCACTGTTCTCTCAAAGATACTGATAAATAAGTTTTGACGGTGGACTAAGGCAGGTCCATGGTGGCCAATACTTTGTGCTCTGCTGTGTGGTTTTCCTCAATGTGAAAGTTTAAAATTTTGCTGAAGTTTATGGAATGAGTAAAAGTTACAGAATTTTTTAGCTGGATGATGGATGCCTTTAATTCCAGCACTTGAAGTAGAAACTTATATTTTTTTAGCCCCTTTAATTTTATTTTTAGGCTTTCAAAGAATATATCCCACCCCTTCCATTTATCTATAATTTAAAAATCTTAAAAGTATAAAAGTATTGTAAAAATTTTTTAAAATGAAAATGAGTTATTTTTTATTTAAAAATAGCCCTTTTTGTGTTTGTCCTCACCTAAAGCTGTTACTTCCAGCAGAGACAATCAGATGGTGAATTGAGGCCTGTGGACAATAAAGACAAAGTCTGTATTTGTACATACACTACTTATTGTCCATATTAAACATGCTTAAGTTCTACAAAGAATCCATTTTTGCTGATAAACTGCAATAAACTTTGTCAAATGTATTCATGTGCACATCCGCTGAGCTGATGGTTGTATTCACACTGCGCTCACATCCACTGAGGTGACAGTTGTACTCACATTGCACTTTGACTCCTTTAGAGTCACAATGTTAAGGCAACAGCAAACTTATATATGTATTAGAAGCTTAAACTCAAAATCTATTGGCGGGGCAGAGGTGCGGAGGACTTCCATGCAGTAACAGTCCCTGGCAAGCACTGTGAGAAAATGAAAAAGGAGAGGAAGCATCTAGAGTCTTGACATGAATTCAGTTCTGAACTCAGACCACTGAGATCACCAAAGAGGCTTTCTGAGAGTGTTAGCACTGAGATGTGGCATGCACACAGTGCTGCTTTAGTGAGGGGGAAGAAAATATGAGTAGTTTAAAACTCAGCTTATCTTTAAAGTCAGACAAATTAAGCTGTGACTACTTGGTTATGAGCTGATGTTCTATGGCCACTCTTGACTCAGCACTTACCCTGAAAGGAGAAGTCTATCAGCTGGGAGTTTGCTGTCTCTGTTTACACTGTAATTGCGTTGATGTTTTACCTCTTGGTTACTAGGCACAATTGTTCAGTGGAATTTAGATCTCTGATGAGACTATTCCTGTTTTTTAACTTGCAATGTTAGCACTTTTAATCAGTCTTTAGTGAGAGATCTGAGTGGGAAAAGGGTTCAGAATGCTCTTATTTTGTGAAAGGGACATACTAATCTGTTAGCAGTGCTGTATCCAGGAGAGTTTGGATTCTGTTTCTTCTATTACAGTTACAGTTTTCTTCTATTCCAATGCTGTGATCTCTGTCAGTGTTTGAAGTCTCTTTACACAGTAATAATGGAAGGAAATCTGGCTCTTCAGAGCATTCCAACAGCCCTATCCCTAATGTTCTTGATAAAAAATATGTTCCTCTTTCACATTTTTGTCAAGTATTCAGCTCCAGAAAGTTATCTATTTAAATAATAAATTGATTTAAAGATAAATTTGAGTAATAGAAAGGTTTCATTT